CACCGTGATATCTGGATGCTGTCCAAGTGATGAAGACAGTTTCGCCAGCTTAGCCACTTAGGTAGGCACTCTTCAGGAAGCCGTTTGTCCCATGAGTGCCGTGAGGTGTTGTTTTCTCCTTTGATTGCTGTGTTGATCTCGCGAAGTATGATCTTGCCCTCGATGGTGACAGTAGCTATGAAGCCCAGGGGATCAAAAATGGAGTTGGCTATGGACAGGACTCCCTGCCGTGAAAATGACCTCTCGTGTAGGTTAACTTTATAAGTCAAATGGTCAGAGACCAGCACACTGATACTGCTCTACTGCTCGGTGATACTGCTCTACATGTACTTTTACCCTGGTCTGGTCATTTTCAACCCAAGTGTCCGAAATGATATGATGTGAACATTACAACAAATATCCTTAGACTGTTTTTGTAAGCAAAATACTGAAGAATAAATATAAAAAAAGACGTACCCTAACGAAACTGCTAAAACAACACGTACCACATACGGAAAGCACTTTCACACGTGCACCCATTCATTAATAGCGTGCGCACACACACAGACTGGTTCCCGTCCTGGCCCTACGTTCAGCAGGAGACTACGTAGGGAACGGGACGGAATTCCGCCACTCACAACCTCATCTCCATGGTTTCAAGCAGCGGGGCTGCTCTGGATTGGAAATAAAGTAACAACTTAGGACAAGGTTGCATCATGCTGCATTAACTAGTCTTCATTCCGTCATCGATTTCACTGTTTATTAAAAAAAATGAAACATTACTGTGTTGTACTTATATCAGTGGTTGAAGATTTGACTCGAGCGGAGGTAATTTTGCCTTTTGCAACCGCGTGAATGCGTGGTAGCTAGATGCGCATTTTGTACTTATCGTCTCAACTGGTCTCAAGGTGGAGACCCGAGACTAATGCATTCAAGACCGGCCCTCCCAAGACCGAGACTTTGACAGGGTGAGACTGAGACTGCAAAAAAAAGGTCTTGAGACGGTCTCGAGACCGAGATCAGGTCTCGAGACCTACATCACTGATTATATTACATTTCATTTGTTGTATGAAGTGAATCAAAAGAGATATCCTCTTCTAGAATGTGAAAAGAGAGAGTTTGCAAAATGCAATGGGAAGTGAAAATGACGTTCATCGCCAAGGTCATCAGCAGTTTCTTTGTTTTTGTGAGCCTCCTTGAACATTTCTTTTTTGGTTATAGCTTTTCTTTTTTTGGTTATTGCTTTAAGGTCACAAACATGTTTGAAGGGCTCGCCAAAACCCGCCATCAATCTCTGTTGAGAACGAGCTCAGACTTTAGGCAAATCGTGTGACGGCCGCCCTGCAAGGCGGGTGGCGCAGGAGGGCGCTATCTGAAAAATTGATGTACTGTACGCGCACGCGTGCGCATTTGCCAATAATTATTGTAGCAAAAGAAATTCGTTGCACTTGCAAGTAGTTACAGCACAAGATGGGACAACGAACGGCCGACGTTCTGCGAAATGAAAGAAGTTTGAGTTGAAAGGTTCATGATTTTGCATGTACTGACGCCGAAAATTGGCAGATGCAATGCCATTCAGCTGCAGTATACGTGGGTGCACGACAAAGCAATCAAAGAGGTCTAGGGAGAAAGGACTGTATTTGCTGACCTACCCACGAGGCAAGAAGCAGCGAGCAGCATGGATCGAGGCAACGGACAGAACAGACATCGAAACGGGCGGTGTGTGGGAGCCAGGGCCCGATGCAAGGGTTTGTTCCAGGCATTTTGAAGGAGGTTGGGTGAGCAACAACTCCAAAGACGTCAACTTTAAGCCGACTTTATTCCTGAAACCTGAGCCCCCACAAGCACAAGAGGAGGAAGATAGTGTCGATTCAGAGGGCGGAAAACAGAGAAAAGCTAAACGACAAAAGCTGACAGAAAAGGTAGGCTAGATCATGGAGGAAGGAATGTAGGCCTACTTCCTGAACTGTAAGTAAGGCACTACTCTGTAGGCCTTTCTGCACTCCACCTTTTTTATGGTTCTGCACACTGTGGCATTTTGAAAGCTGCTCAGCAATTGTACAAGATAAAACATTCGTTTGCGCTTGCTTAAGTAAATCTTCCCTAGGCTAAAGACCCTTTAATAATACCAATGGGCCTAGCTAACCTATGGAACTACTGGGCACAAGTGTATTTTGTTGTGTTTAACCTATATTATTGGCAAAAAATTAGGTTTTTCTACCATCCTGACCTCTCATCCTTTGACAATCTGCACACATCTGCATTCCCTGTGGTCGTACATCACCTGGTCATGTGACAAAAACAGCACAACGAACATTTGTTGCTTTGGATACCAGACCCAATTATTCTGATTACTCTGATTAAGGTTGTGTATAGAGACATCGGGGAAATCTGTGGTCGGGGAACCACTCTAATCACATATCGGCTCGACCATTTTGGAAGGAGGGGTTTTGAAAGTGGAAGGGGAGGGGGCTGACACAAGATCAGAGTATATCGTGAACCAATTTCATCACATTTTCATGAAATTTCCCTCCCCCCCCAACAATTCTCAGTGACTCCTTTTCCCAGCACAGATTTGTGTTACCGCCACATCCAAATCACTATTTCACACCCTGACATCGCCACTTCTCTTCGCCTAACAGGATGGCCCCGCAGTAATCCTTTCTTCTAATTCTTTTTGCCAGTTTTGTCTATATGGAATTCTTTCTCTTTTTTCCTATAGCTCAGTATTATGCTAGGTATAATAGTGGCCGTAGTTACTACACCTTAGATTGATTGCTGATGTATTCTTTTGTGCCAGCATGTTAGTAATTCAGTCAGGAACCAGACCAGTCCGTAGCAAATGGATCTCGGACTTTTCCCCCTTTAATTTATTTCCAGCCATGGCGTTGTAAAGCATCTGTTTTTTTTTAATTATTATACTTTACAAAACTTGCAGCCCAAAATTTGTGCTATTCATAAGTGTAGAATTGTTTTTATGGATATCGATTTGCTCTGAATGGCTTTCTAAAGGAAGGCGACCAAAGTGCCTGCACTTCAGAGGAGAAGGCCCTCAAAATATCTATGAGCCATCACTCCTACTGCGGACAACGTCTGTCAGCCAAGAATAAAGATTCTGGAGATCCACTCCAAGGACGGAACGGTGATGCAAGTGAGTCGAGAGCTACACTGGGTTACTATTGCAAATGCATTTGCAAGTTGTCACCAAACCCGACAAAAATGGGGTGCTTTTGAGCTAAGACCTTTCAAAGTTTTGTGCAGAATGGATGTCAGTAGGAGCCCTCAGCTATTTGTCACTCGCGTGTCCATTTTTTGTCAAACTGGGTGATACCAGGAAGCAGAGTTAATTTCTCGCTTTCCAAGACAAACTGAAAAAAAAATTCTACAGTAACCTGCCTGAAGGCTCACGTTGTTGGATCCATTCACATTTAGATGAGCTTTGAAGCTTTTCATGGTGAAGGTAACAAGTTAGTTATCGAGGTTAACTGTGGGTTAGCACCATGCAAGGATATCTCTTTTATGAGTATGTGCGGTTCTGAAAAGAACAGGAGGGCACTGTGCATGTCACACATACATGTACTCATGCTCCCACAAACCTTTAGAATCAGTTACATCAATTATCGGCAAATTTGGAACATTCTCTCTTTTTTTTTTTCAATTTGAAACTATGAAATATGATTTGATGTACCATATTTTGGCATTTATTCCCCAACTGTCTTGTGCACAGTTTAACAGATGTTTTCCTGAAGGACAGCAGAATACTTTGCTGGGTAGATTCTTGGAACAATGTGTGGGGCATTTGAAGTGAGAGTCTAGGCAGCTGGATCGTGGCTAAGATAACTTTTGTTGTGCTGAGTTTTAGTGCTCTCACATATGTATGCTTCATCTTGCATTGGTCATTCAGGCATCATGCCTTGTTTGTTTTGTTTCGGTGAGTCAGTTCAGACAATTTAAAAACACATTTACACTATATCAACACAGCATGTACCGACTAATGAATGTGCACAAGGTTGTGACGTTGCTGCCTTGACTAATTCCAGTGAGGTGACGAGGGGAACATCACTTTCATGAGATTGCTGAATGCAGACTTATATGTTATTGGTTTTGCCTCGCAACAGCAGATTACCAGCACTAATAACGTGCATACTGCTCTCAAATTGTACTCAACGGATCTTCTTTTCTCAGCACAGGAATTTACTAAGCAATAGTTTCTGCCTCATGAAACAAGGACAGTGTTGAGACAATGACCTCCCGTAAAGAAACACCTCAACATGTGCACCTACTCACATGTCCTATCCTCCAACATTGTGATTATCAATAATGCAGACACAACAGAAGAGGGTCCCAAGTCCTTCGATGAGCTGAAGAAAAAGATCGCTGAGCTGGAGTACGATCTACAATGCCTGTCATGGAGCTACAGGAAAATTGAGGGTGACAACGCCAAGACCAAATTCTACACAGGGTTGCCGACTTTCCACGTCTTCATGTGGCTCTTCTCGTAAGTCGAAATGGACAGAATCACAAAAATGACTTGTGATTTCGATGTGAGTTGTCGAAGATACATGAACATCACGAATGACTGAATATTCCAATATTCAACCTTCTGTTCAAGTACGTATTTGCTTGTAGCAAATTCCCCCAAGCATGATCAAAACATGCATGCTTGTGTGGTGGTCTACCCCGTTTAGTTTCAGGACCAGGGTCGGTTCCCCAGGGAAGGGAGGAGGCTAGGTGTCCAACTCAGCCGGATGTTGTTGGATAAGATCAAGCACAACAAAAAGTTTTTAACACTGGAAGGAAATGTAATTGTTTGGCCTTATGGTTAGGTATTTTTTGCCTTCATCTTGAGAATCATAACATCTGGAAATTGTTTTTTGGATGCAGTTTGGAAATGAAAGAATTGAAGTTTTTCTGTTTTTTTTTTCATTAATTTTCACCAACAAATATTCAATTTGAAAATAAGTATTCAATAATCAGCTGAATATATATTTGAACATTCAGCATCACCCTAGTTCCAGTGCAGTGTTTACATCACATGCAAAATATTAAGCAGAGAGACTGAGTGCCTGACAATGAAATGCATGCAGTTGTATGTCAGACTGCCATGCCAAACACAGAGCATAGCATCCTCAAATTCATGTAGCAGTAGTGGTGTTCAACTGTCTTGCTCCTGTGTTTTCTCTGTGACTGTTAAAGACAGCCTTTTGTGTGAAGTCCATAAGAGTGCCAGATTCCAACAACACTCGGAATTCCTGACAAGGTTTTGATGGGCATGCGTTGTTTATGAATAAGTCTTTGAGCTGGTGATAACAGCAGTTCTTATACACCCTGTGATATGCACTACCTTTTTTGACTCTAGCTGAGGTTGACCTGATTGTTTGCATAAATTCAACTTTGTGGTTTTTCTGTTTTTGATGTGGATTGAGGTTGAGGTTGAGCTGATTGTTTGCATAAATTCAACTTTGTGGTTTGTCTATTTTTGATGTGGATTGAGTTTGATGTGCACATGCTCAGCTTTACACAAACAATAGTGGAGCAGTATGTTTGCTGCCATCATTGTCTCATCCAGCTTACCCATCAACCTGTCCTGAGAACAGGCCAAAACCAGATTTGGAAGGGTAGTTTTTGCTCATTCAAAATTTGTCAAGCCCCCATTTCTTACATAAACCTTTCACACACTGGTGAACAGGCCTTCAGATTTCCTTCCTAAATACCAGGTGCCATGAGACGTGTGGCCTCAGGTAACACTGAGGGATTTCAGTTTCATACAGTTCTCATGGGAGAGGGCTGGCTGTTTTTAATCTTGGCCAGGAAGAGCCAGGCAGATATTGTAATCCTGGATGAAATCTTGCACCGAGCAATTCAAAAGTCCCCCATTTCATATAGTTCTTTGTAACAGGTATTACCGCAAGTAAAGCTTTTCCTTAAACCTTCCTACTGGTTTGTTTTCAAATGTTTCTTGGCTACAATTCTATCTGGCTCCATGTTTAATACTTGTTTTAACTCCAGATATCTTGAAGCAAAAGTTTGGACCATGACAGGTTCAGAGGAGAATGACACCAGCAGCAAGTCTTCAGACAGAAAGGTCGTTTTTCCCCTCATCGACCAGCTGTTTGCTACACTTATGAGACTCCGCCTGGGCCTCCTCCTTCCAGACTTGGCCGACCGCTTCCGGGTATCGAGGAGGAGGATGGACAACACGGTAACGATGTGGATATTTTTGCTGGAGAAGGAGCTACGAGCCCTGACTCCATGTCCGTCGCGAGAGGCAGTGCGCCTGACCCTGCCACCTCATTACCGGCGCAAGCAGGGCTTGAGATTCCTGGTGGAGGGTGCTGAACTGCACATCGAGTGCCCGTCCAACGTGTCCACCCAATGCTACCAAAGACACAGGCACCACACAACTGTCCAATATCTGGTGGCCATTTCCCCCACGGGCCTCATCGCGTACGTCAGCGACGGGATTTTTGGAAAGGCGTCCGGTGGAGAAATTATGCAACGAAGTAAATTTCTAGCCCTGTTGGAGGAGGGCGATCTGGTGCTGGCAGATTCAGATTTCATGGTCCAGGATTTGGTGACAGAAAGAGGGGCTGTGCTCCGCGTCCCGTCCAACATGTCGGGACCGTTCAAATGTCAGGTACAGAGTGCCATAGGCAAGGTTAGAGCATTCCGTATTTTGGACGGTGTGATGCCTCTGTCTCTCCAGAACATGTTGGGGTCTGTATTCAAGGTATGCTGCTGGCTGTCCAATCTCAGTGACTTCTTTGACTTGATTAAACCCAAGTGAGAAATAAGAGATTGAGTACAGAAAACGGAAGACCTCCAAGGTTGGTTCATACCCACCCTGAAAGTGAGCAAAGATGCGATTGTGTGACGTCAGACATATTTGCATTGCACATTCATGTACTTAACAGTACTTGCGTTTGAATCTAATGTATGTCACTGCAAACTATTCATGGCGTCGGTCGCTTCACTTTTGCATTTGCCCCAAGTATGAACTTGCGTTATGTGGAGTTCATTTGAAGTCCATTCCCCAGAGCCCCCCATCCAAGTGTACACAGCCTACGTTCAAAGCAAGTTAATTTACTTTACTACACCTCAACTATGCCCCCTCAGTAACTTCACACTTGTTACACCATTGCCGTTATGGCCTATTTTCTGTTTTGGTATCGTTTTTCATTGTTTTGTACAATGTTCTATGTAATTCTCTTTTCTTTCATGATGCCCTGCAAATGCTAAATAAATAGTTTCAAGCAGGGGAAGATAATAGTACGGTGAGTGAATTTATTTGACAGCATTGTAGTCAAGTACTATTTTGAGTACTAAGGATAATCTCTGCCGAATATCAAACTGGTCAGGAGGGAATAATAGTGGATTACATGGGCATTTGATGGTGCAAGGGGATAAAACATAAGACTTAAGAAAAATTACTTGAAAAGTACTCAGCTGAGTACTTTTCAAGTAATTGCTTAATAATATTAAGCAGTGACGGTCTGAAGTCACATCATTTTGTTGTCTTACCCTTGTGCACATTCTATCACATGCCATGTTCTTACGCCTTGCCCCTAATGAACTCGACATTCCGCAGAGTACCCTGGTACTTCACTACAACACTAGTATTTGGATGTTTTGTACCCTGCATATACCCACAGCCTACAGTGAAAATAATAAAAACACAAAGACAGCAACACACTTTTTGACATATTTCTGCTGCCATCACGGCATCACAATTTACTGATTTTGCTGTACAAAAAAATACCAAATAATACACTAGTTGCACTCACACATAACATGAATAGTTTACTTTCCAATGGCATTTTGATGACTTGGGAACTACAGCGTACTCGTAAGGTCAAAGGTCAGAGCCGTATGGTCACTTCAAAGAAAAGATTGACTAGTTTGAGACATTTAGATTAGAACGTTCTGGATTATGATCACACGGTGAAGTTCCTTTATGAACCGTGGGCAGACTAGTTTAAATAGTTTACTCTCCCCCATGTATCTCCATTTTTGAGGTGGTCTGGTTTTTAAGGATTGTTCTAGGATTTTTGTCGGTGGGGAGGGGACATCTTATGAATTTGCAGATGTGGTTGACAGGAGCTTCACAAAGCACAATAAATTACATCTCACATGACAAAATGCTCAAGGCATAGCCAATAACTTATGAGACATCTTTTGATGGATAGTAAGCGACAATAAGTAGGTTCTGGGCACTGTCATCTGCAATGCCTTTTTCATCATATTTCGGGCCACATAACTTTGTTATGACAAATGTAACATTTGAAACATCAGATGCAAAATACGAACTGTTCACAAGGGGCAGGCTAGTCATCAATTATAACCATAAAGACAGCATGTTAATGTTCAGGAAATCAATTTTTGGTGAAAATCATAAAATCCTGCTATTTTGCTAGGTTTTCTGACTGACCATCTGTTTACAAACTCTGGTTATGTGTCAGAAACTGTGAAATATGCATGTTGCCAAACCATTCAGAAGCTACACCCATCTTATGACTGCAGACTGTTTTTGTCTCCCCTCCCATAGCAACACAATATGACCTGCAAAATTTGAACCACACACCCTCCCTAGGTAAGCCTTCAAACCCAAGCCAGGCCTTGCCCTGTTGCACATGTGATTGGCACATGGAGGAAAAAAATGGGTAACACCATGGTGCTCCGCACGAGATTTGGAAGTTTCTAAATCTACTCGATTCTCATCAGTCGACCCCTCATTGACCCTCGCCGACCTGCGACCTGATGTCGTCGATCTTGAGGATCATCCTGACCAGCTGGGTAGCCAGGTTGATCTGCTGCATCTTTCCAATCAGCGTCTCAATCACGTGCTGTTCCTTCATGTCTGGAGAAAAGAGAGGAAGAAACGAGAAGAATTGTATATGGGTTAACCACTGAGTACTCTTTTGTGACACTTGGGCAGAAAACTAAGGAGTCTCAGCGTCCGCTGAAACAGTTCAAGGCCTGTTCACAAGTTTGCACAACATTTAGAGCACAGCAAAGCCATGAGGGAATATGCAAATTTTCACTGGAATAGCGACCAATGTTTAACAGGCCCAAGTCTCTAATTTAGATGTAATTTTTCACAGATCTTAAGGAATTAGGGTTTATGATACCACAAACTTCTCGCAACGAAATCAATTTGCTTGATTTGACTTGACCAAGTGTCGGAACTCGTCAAGGCAAGGGGTCTGCTGGATATGTAAGTCAGTATCTTGACTAGATCCGGTGGTCGAGGCCAAGGCTATTACACCTACCATTGGTGCCCCTGCCCATGCAGTCGATTCCTAGCCTTGGGTTGCCCTCCTTGATCTGTCTGGACTTGATGTCGGCGAGTGTCTGGATCGGGTGCAGTCCGCTGTTCTCGGCTAGCGCCATTGGAATGGACTCCAGGGCTTCACCAAAGGCACGCATGGCGTACTGCTCTATCGTGGAAATCTGTTGAGGTAAAAACAGATACGTTCGTTCTTGATTACACCCCAAATGTCTGAGATTCGCACAAGGACAACGTCCCGTTCAGGCTGGCAGTACGTGCAATTAAAAAGGACTACAGTATCTGGGACAAACACAGTTTATTATTTTAATGGCAAACTTTCCAATTATCTTTGCTGGCAAATTTTGTCAGTCTTCCAAAATCATTTACCGTGGATAGAAACACTGGTAAAACCCACTTTTTGTCATTTGAATTGCCAAAGGGTACAAAGATGCACAGAGAAAGTCAGTGGCTATGCTCTTCATTCCCAATCCAGCAAAATCTTCAACTGCCACGTGGACTTTAAAGGATTCAGCTCCACTGTACATGACTACAACTTTTCGGTTGATGCTCATTCAGATATGTACAGAATAGTTCAAAGTTACGTAGGAACGTCTTGCCAGCTGTATGTAGATCATTCCATTTTGGGGAGAGGGGGGTCCACTGTTTTGTGTCCCTGTCACATCTGACAAACGATTTTATAAGTTTAGAATACATTCTTTAATTTCCAAGAGGGCTTAAATATGCAAATTACCTTCCAAACAAATACAAAAGTTTGAAGTCGACTCCGTTGATATTGCAAGGTAAAATTACACAGGGCAGGTGTAACGGATACATAAATAGTCACATGGTTGGACATCGGATTTACAGAATGACCTATGTATCACCTACATCAGTGTGCTAGGCCACGGGTTTAAAGCCTGACAATGGTTCGAGGTGATTGGGCGTTTACTCTTGCATGGTGTCTGGCCTTCAATATCACTCAACAGATAGAAAAGGAATCCTGATTTCCATGCTCCTTTAGTTCAAAATGAAAACCGGCAAAGAACCAAGTCTGTCACTCCATTTTCTTTGGAGGGGGAAAGCTAGCAGATTTCTGGCAGGAGTAAAAGTCGTCCCTTCTTTACCTTGTCTGCTTCTTTGCTCACGGCTAGAGCACAAGCAATCTCTGCAGCACCTCCACCGTACACGATGTGATTGTCTCGGACCAGATTACGGATGACGCACAAGGCATCGTGTAGACTACGCTTGGCCTCCTCGATGATCTAGAGGATGAAATCTCAGATGTCAGTGATTCATGATTGCTAGAGTGTTTCATTAATTACTGTATTCTTCCTGTGCGAATATACATTAAATCAAACAAGTGACACGGTATGAATGTGCAGGTTAAACAAAGTATCAGGCATGCAACTTGGACTTTGACAAAAGAAACGAGAAAATTCTAATCTGTTTAAGACTTTGTACAGTGGTTTTCAATTTTCAGTGGCATGGGCGTGAAGTCAGCTGATCCTAGGAAAAGGTGCATGCCTGAAGTACGAGGATTAAATTTGTCAGTGTCACTGTTCACACTGCAAGAGGAATAAAATGTGGAAATTCAATCAATCACGCAACCCTTTACCACACTTTCTTACCATTTTATTGCCTCCCCTGATGAAGATGGTGACAGCCCTGGAGTTGTGGCACTCCTCAATCACTAGCATGTGATCCTTGGTGGTGCCAAAGGTCAGCTCCCTGACGATACCTGCCCTGCCCAGCTTCTCCGCCGTGAGCTCCTGGAAACGTGGGACAATGCGGCCGCCAGTCGCAATGGCGATTAACTGTGTAACAGGGGAAAAACAGTGCTAGTTGGGGAGGATGCATTACCATGTTAACAGTAGTTATGCATAAACAACTTGCAACTTGTACCCTGAGTGGTTGAAACAGTTCACAGGTTGTGCTTGATAGGTATTCCCAATGGTGCCACAGGTGGAAAGTCCCTGAAAAGTGATAAACTGCCTGTTACACCTTCGATAATTCTGTGAATTTTCACCCAGACAAATAGGGAAGGGGTATATTCAGAGCTGTTTATAGAGAGAGTTGCGACATGAGTGTCACAACTGATGGAACCAAAATGGTGGATTATGCATCAGTGCACATGGACAATTAGCACACAATAGCTGCATGCTGTACTGTGCATATAATGAACAGCCATTTGGTTTGAAAGTGTGATGTTGACACTACTCTATCTTCCCTGAGCTAAAGTGCACCCTCACCGGCGAAAGAAAGACAGATGGCACTAAGTTTTCCAACTGGGTTCCTGCACACGTTCGGCATGCACGCAAAACCATACATTCCATACCAATTTCACTGTGCGTACTCGGCGTGCTCCAGGTCAAACGCACATAAACCTGCGCGCCTATACGGTGAGTGAGTACCAAAAGACTGTCAAGTTTACTTCAGAACACGCCCTCTTTTGTTCCTGCCCGGAGTGGATACACAGTTCTGGGTGTAGTCATGCAGCAAAATACATGGGCATCAACTGCTGTCCTCATTTCTGATAAATTTTCAAAAGGACCCCTCATTAACCCTCCTATGCTGAAGTCACTCTTTGGGTCACTTGGTAAACACCTCAAAGAAGCACAGCTGTGTTGTATTGTGCACTGCACCAACAGTCCCTCACAGGAATATCAGATTGCACTTTTGTGCTGCCCAACAACTGTGCTTCACTGTTTCACTTGCATAATTGTGCAGTAAACCAAATGCAGTGAAGAGGACTGCGCAAAAGACCCTGTGTCAGTTTGTGCTGGCAACCAACTGTGTACACACTGAATCTGTTGCATGTTTGTGTTCCATGTAGAAAATACGTGCAAAAAAGTGACTGTGGGCACTCATGCATATTTGTGCTGTAAAACCAAAGGAGGGTTAATGAGGTTTGCCGGTACTTTATGCATTAGGATACACGCTGATACACTATACATCTGAATGGATATTTGCAACGGGCCCCTAACAATCAGCAGTCCACAAGAATCATGACTCATTAGAAGAATTTGGCTCGTTAAGGAAAACGAAACATGGGGAACAACTTCTTGCCTTAGAGGCAACTCACCTCTATTTCTGGTCCTCCGACCCAGCGGACGGCCGGGAGTTTGTTCTGGAGCAGCAAGTGGTTGGCCTCGTCGTCAAAACCCCACTGGCAGATGGCCAGATTGGCCCCCGTGGCCTTCACCTGTGAAATAATGAATAAACAGCTTACTCATTAGGTAACTGCATATGATGTGCCAATATGACTGGGTACACCTCCACTGTGGTCACCAAGGACAGTGCTGCACTCATCTTTGCCAGTCCTGTCATTCATGACCACACTTTGGGAGAAATGACTGAGGGGAAGAAATACTTGTTGTACAACTTTTACTTTGGCTCTTTATCAATTTCAATAAAACGACACCAACTGCACTGTCAACAGATCTCGCCAGATCTCTCAAACAAAAGAGTCTGAAAATGTTCCGTGATTAAAAAAAATAAATCTATTTGGTTAAACCGCAGAGAGCACATTGCTAACACAGACAAATGGAACTTCCAACAGAGGAGTTCACACAGCCAGTTCAAATGTTCCCTCTGGGGAAAGCCTAGAAATACCACCTATTCCTAAAAGGGATAATACCGCGAAAGCACTTGGACACTTTACTTGAGGATGTTAGCTCATCTCCTGTCAGATAGAGTCACTTGCTTTTGAAATGACAACATGGAAACACAGAACCATCAGAGGGTGGCAAACTCCCCAACCCACCTGTTCCACCATGTCTGTGAATTTCTTTGCTTCGTACTCCTTGAGTTTCTTGTAGTCCTCTACTGACTTGATGTCCAGCTTGTGGGTCGTCTTGGGCTTAGGAGGCTCAAATGGGCATGTCAGGATGGCCAACTTAACATCTCGAATTTCCTAAAACATTCATACAATGGGAGGATTTGGGCTGAATGCAATTTTTCATGTTGAAAATCGGAGGATTCTGGATAAATCCTAGTAAAAGGGCCTAGAGGGTTAGGGTTAAATAAAAAAAAACCTATGTATAAAACAACTCACGACAAAATATTAATGCATGACTGATGAATAATAACAAACATGCATGCCATGCAGCCTGACATTCTCCTCTCTTGATAGTACTTGCTAAACATATGGAATACACCGTAAACAGCTGTTACTCAAAAGAACAAAAGTTACTCATTCAACATCAAAACATTCGCATAAATGAAAAGAACCTCTTACCCAAACTAATAAAACATGAATAACCCTCCTCTAGTCACAACAGTTGAAGACAAAGGTTTTGTTCACTTTTCCCCTACTACACTTAAATACATGCGTTTATCATCAACAGTCAGATCATACGGTTGCTTGGTACTGTGACCAATCAAATTCCGTCAACAAAAGCAGGTGCCTGGCAGATACAGTTGAAAATCAAGTTGCAAAAAAATGTGGGCAAGGCCTCTCACCTTGGGCATCTGAGGATGGCTGAAGTCCTTGTCGATGACCACCCCTTTGACCAGCATGGTATCTTCCAGTTTGCCGCCAACCTTCCCTTCCACCTTGATCAGTTCAAAGTCCACGTCCTTCCGTTGAAAGTCAGCGACGGCCATGATGGCATCCACGGCAATCTTGGCCATTTGTCGGTGGCACTTGTTCACACTGGGTGTGAAAAGAACAACAAATCCATGTTTTGAGAACCCTCCCAACGGCCAAAGTTTATTCAAAGTTTGAACCTGTCTAATACCACTTATGGCAAACAACTGAAATTCTTTCATTAGCTTGGCATAACTTTTGTGTACTGACACAACTTCCTCCAAAATTGATGCTCGACATATGGACACACCTACATATGTACCAAGTCTGTAGTTTTGTTACTCCATTTCTAAATTAAGGATTGATCAACCTCAATAAGTCAGCAAGAAGCTGGCACGGCTTCAAATGTCACCAGAATACTCCTGGTTGACACTCACATTTTGGAGCCAAGTGTTGTCATGGCCGTCTCGATCAACGGCTCTAAGTTGTCCTGGTTGACCTCAAACGCCTCCTTGATCTCCCCCAGTCTCTGGCAGGCCTTCCGGGCGGCCATCTCGTAGCCGTCGGCGATGCGGATGGGGTGGATGCCTCGATCCAAGAGGGCCTCGGCTTGTTCCAGGAGAGCACCAGCAAGGACTTAGTGGAGGAAATGATAAAGAGGGGTCTTGTTTTCACAACCTCACATTATAACCTTCCCAAAAGGCCAGTTGAAAAACCAAAGATATTCACAATAAATAAAGCCAAATTGACAACAAACTGCTTTCAAGTTAGTTGTGCATACAGGGGGCCAAAATTCCAAAGAGCAATTTTAATGAGGAAAGACTTTTTCCAACTCTCCTCAGTTCTGGGGCCGATTTCACCAAAGGCTACGATCGATCGTATCTTAAGTTGCGATGGGATATCCATCGCAACTTAAGATGATTCCTAAAATCGATTTCAAGAAAATTGCGACGAGTTCACTCGTCGCAATTCCCATGGTAATTCATCGTAAGTTACGATGACTTACTACGTCATCGTAACTTACAACTTTGGACCAAAGAAAGATTGTTTAAGCAATGGCGCTTATGTTTCTAGCGAATTTTGAGGCAAGACGTGCTCTTCGAAGAGAAAGAATTTTTCGTGATAGAAAAAATCCGCTTGATTCATTAACGGAGGAAGAGATATACCAGCGGTACCGATTTACGCGACACGGGATCGTTGAGCTCTTGGGGAGAACTAGGCCAGAAATCGAGCATGCCACGCAGGTAACACCTAAGACTTACCATAAGTTAAACTATTTAGGCCTATTTATTTGTACTATAAGTTTGTATGTTCCTGTCTAAATTCTCGTATCGAGCTTCTCACATAAACGATTGTCATGGCCGGGGCCGCTGGGGAATTCAAAGTCAATTATTCATTCATAGCGCCACCATTTGTCGGCTCGCAATAGCTTAATGATGGCGGCGCCCATGATTCAACGAATGTGTGGGATTTCTGCCGTGTTGGAATTGCCAAAAACACACACTTGCGAAATGGAGCACCTTTTTTTAAGGGAGTGTTTTTCCTTTTATACCTTCATATCTTTTTGGGAAAGAGTTTCACTTGATACCACCTTTCAGAAGCCTATGAAATTAGGCTGTATTTAATAATCTAACTTAACCAACGTTATGAATACATGATCAGCTGATACTGATAGTAACGTTAGTGTCCATGGTATAAGGACGCTTAGGGGGCCACTAAAACGTTAAATGTTTTTAAATTTTGACTTTTTTCGAAATGGTGGGT